GATTTTTATAGATGACACATCCTAGTCTTAACTGCTGTAGTTAATTGCATAGTGTGATTGAGTGACTGAACTGAACTGATATTCATATATTCATATTCATATTTTCTTTGCATTTTCATATATGAACATGTAAGTTAATTCCTTTTTAAAAATCTTGTGAGCAGATCTCTGAATATTTTTATATATACTTTTCCAACTCTTGCACACATTTGATGATTTGTTTAGGTTATATACCCACTGATTGAATCACATGATTCATACGTGTATTTTTTAGCTCAACTGGATAATACAAAATAGGTTTCCAAAGCTTCTGCTGATTACTTTTCCAGTAATCATATATGAGTATTATTTCCCCTACTTTCTCCTCATCCTTTAATGTTACCAGACTTTTTAATTTCTGCAGAGCAGATGAGTGTAAAATTAATGGGTTGTAATTACACTTCCCAAGTTACTAGTGAGGCCTAATTACCTTTGTTTTTAAATGTTTATTGGCTTCTGATGTTTGTTTTTTTTGTAATTGCATGTTCTTTGCCCAGTTTTTATTGGAATTTTTTTTTGCTTTGTAATTCTTCCTGTGTTGTATGTATAAATCCTTTGTTGAGTGTACATTGAAATTTCTCAGTCTCTTGTCTTTGAACCTGACTTAAAATGTAGCTTATTCTTCAGAATCATGGGACTTGAACCAGAGGTGGAGGAGGTCTTAAAGAGATGAAATAACTTGTGAGAGGAACTATATACAGTGTTTTCTGTTATCAGTAAGGAACTTGTGACTTAATGATCTTTGCCTTTCTGTCCTCTTATGACACATAGGTGTGATTGAGGAGGACTTGTCCTGCACCGCCCTGGAAATGGTTCTGGCCTTGATCTCTTGCTGGGTGGTTTGATAATCTCTTTACCTGATTATGACAGGGACAGCAGCACCACTTAGAGGTTAATACTGTGGATTTCATAGTTCAGACTGTGGGGATGGGGTTGACATAGGCGTACTTGGGCAAGAACTCCTGTAAAATGAGGGTACGGATTAGAGGAGAATGTTAACATATAACACAGGAGTGCTCCATAAATGCTAGTTCTTTTATTATTGCTAGTACATAGTCTGGAAATAAGCTCTATGGAATTCCACTGTAGATTGCTTTGTGTTTTTACTAGATTTTGCTTTCACCACCACCAACCAGAAAAACAAGTTCTGCCAAGCAGCTCGGCCATTTTGTAAGTTTAGGAAAATAAACAGAGCCCAGCAAGTGCTGAAATGGCAGTTCTTGGGCAGAGAACCGCAGGCTTGCTCTTTAGTCAAGTATTGCCGTGCTGCCCTCTTGTGGTCATTTGCTAAAGTGATTAAAAAGGGAACAGCTTGCTTTCACAGTCCAGTTGTAAAGACACACTTAATCTCTATTTTTGCCAGCTTGAAAGGGATTTTGAAGAGCTAACAAATCTTTTTTAGCAGTGAGTGACAGGAAGTGTTAAGCTTTTTTATTTATTTTTTTTTTCTTGCTTCCTATTTTTCTCTTGTCTAAATCCAGATTTTCCAATTAGCCTTTGTTTATAGGCCCTTGAAGAAATTGACATTCGGCATCACTGGGGAACTTAGGTATTTCTTTAGATGTTTCCAGAGAAATAACATAGTACTTAAGCTTTTTTAAATAAGTATTTTTCTATTGGAATCCAGCAATTCTCAATTTTGATTTATTTATTTATTTATACATTGTGTTTCCATTGTTGTGATTGTTCAATCAGAAATTACAAAACTTGTCTGCAACTTAGGTTTTGTGTGATTTTTAGGTAAACTTATTTTTCATGAGAATTCTATATGTATGGTGGATAATCATTCTCAGAAATTCCATTTTTCATTGCCTTATAACTAGCTATTAATGCCATTGGAAATCAGGTAATTTTATTACTTTAATTTAGGTGAAAGCTTAGTTAGAGGACTACTTACCCTCTAACTTGATTTGTCCTTTTTTCCAGTCCTGTGGACTTTACACATATCCTACTCTAAACATCGAGGGCTACAGTTTAATATTGATAGTATTTAGTAGTATTATTAGACATTAATAGTGAATCTTCATAATATTTCAGGAAATTTCATGTCCTTTGAATTAATAATTAGGTCATCAGTATCTTAAATGTGGAGATATTTATAGTTTTTTCTAAATATTCTTTTTCTAATTCAACATTTAGGAACTTGTCCTCCTAGAAGAAGTATGCAAATTAATTGAGTTATATCTTTATTAAGGCTTGCTTTTGAAAACTCCCCCCCCAATATTATTTTAGGTCGCTTAAATCTGACTTATTCAGAAATGATTAAAAAATAAAAAAAAACCTTGGTCTTACTCTCATGCATATCTTTAGTTCATTTTGTGTAGGATTGGCTTGCCTTGAATTTGACTCTCGGTTGAATTTATTATGAACAATTTGAAAGACTAAAAAGATTGATACGTAGTGAACGGCTATGAACTCAACCACTCAGCCTCAGTCCTAAAACCCGTCCATATCATTTTCTGATTACATCTGCCTCCCTTTACCCCCAGGGGTAAACACAGTTGAAAATTCCATGTTTTCTCTTGGATTTGACTTTCAGAGTTACTACTTTTATTTTTTAAATTGCACAAGTAAGTAATTCATGAAATGCACAAGGTACTTTAGATAACCCCCCCCATAGAGTAAAGCACTGTTAGCAGTTTGGTGATTAAAATGGTTTTATACACGTGGCTATGTACTGATAGAAACCTGGATGTGTTTTTTTTACCTGAAAGGTGGTGTATGCCTGTTCGCATTTCCAGAGGTCACTTTCCTACACAAACAAATACAGAGCTGCACATGAAGCATATATACAAAAATATAGTTTTGTTATAGTGAACAATTTGAAAATATAAATATTTTGCTCAGGAATACAGAGATATGGAAGTATATCAGTGGTATTTGTAGCTTATTCGATAAGAGAACAATTTGAAAATAACCTAAATGTCCCTTTAACAAGGGAGCAGTTTAAATATGTATTCATCTTATGAGGCCAAAGAGAATGAGGTATTCATGGACACAGGTATGCCTTGACGTGAGAACTGGTATCGCACTGTTACCATCACACTGGCAGTGACTGATGGCATTGGTTACAAGCGGGCGCAGGCCTGAGATGATCTAGGGTGGAGCCCCAAGCCAGGAGGGCCAGAGCCTGCACTTTCTCTTCTTCTGGTTACTTTCTCTCTTTTTTAATTTTTCTGGTTACTGGTTACTTTCTCTTTTTTCTTCTTGCTTGTTGAGCACCTTCTGAGTGGTCACAGGTGGAGAATAAATGAGTTAAGATGTGTTAGTCACCTGGGCTAGTTAACTTTACTGTGCCAAGGACCCAGGAGTGGGTAAGTGTAATGGGGCCTTGAAGGTACTGAGTCACTATTACAGGGATCAAGTTGATTGGCTGAGTCTCTAGGACTTTGAACTCTTGTGGTGAAACAAAACATGAGGTTTTTAGAGCCACACCTGAGGTGGAATTTCTGCCTCACTCCCCCCAGCACTTTCATCCTCCACATGAGGGTAATAATGCCTAAAAGTGTTGTGCTGGGGGATATATAAGCCAAACAGACATGTAAGGTACTCAGCATATTGCCTGGCATCTACTACATAATCGGACAAATAAGTCGCTTTCCCCTTCTGGTCGCTTTCCCCTTCTGCTCCCTTTCCCAAGGTAGACACTCTCCCACCCCCTGTGTTCTCACTGCTTCCTCATGTAAACTGAAGTCCCTCTGACCGTATTTTGCTTGCTGTGGGTCACACGGGATGTTTGGGTCAGTGCCCCTTCCCTGTGTACCGTCCTCTTCATTCTGTGGACACATCTGTCAAACGGTAGCCTAAAGTTTGGAAGGGAGTGGTGGTAGATAAAAAGCCTCGCTCTTTTTAAAAAGTCCTTTCTGGCTTCATGCCATCAGTCTTTTGTCTTCTGGTTGCTAGACCTGAGGTCCTTTGTGTTGGCATTACTTTAGATTCTGGGTTGCTGCCTGCTTCCTCCTCTGCTCTGCCTCTCCCAAATGAACACATAGTTTCTAAGCAGAAGAGCTGAGGGAGCTGTCCGCCTTTTTTCCCCTGTAGAGTCCATCAGATTTACGTCTCTTTAGAGGATCCTCATTCCTGCCACCGTGCCCCTGGCGCTCTTTTTAACACTGAAGAACACAGGGTGGTATATTGCCTTCGGTCTTCCTTTGCCTTCTGTTTTATTTTTTGGTGTGACTTCTGCTGCCATTTACCTGTTGCTGTTTCCTGATGGGGGCTTGGAATGATGCAGTTGGTGTTGTATGGGAAGCCAATGGCAGTCTTTATTGGATTAGACTCTTTGTTTATCCTTTTCTTTTAAGTCTACCAGGTCTGGGACGCACCTGCAGGAAATTTCAGGGCAGGAGTTCTGGTTTGGGGTTAGTGTGTGTATGTTTTTAATTTGCACCTGCTTTTGAGAGCCATTGATTGGATAATTGCATCGATTGCATTTTTACTGTTTGAGTGACTCTGCCTTGGTTTTGTTTTGTTCTGTGTTGGTTGCTTTTTTGTTTGTTCCTTTCGCTTTGTTTTGGTTTTGTCTTTGTCTTGAGGGAGGGGCTGAATAATGAACAAATAAGACTTACTGGATTCAGACAGAGGGACCTGGTTTCAAACCCTACCTGTGTCATCTTGGAGAATTGTTTAACTACTTTGAAGCTTCAGTGTTTCTTCTTCTGAGTGAAGGACAAAATAATATCCCCTATTTTATTTTATTTTTAAAGAGCTAATCCATATAAATTATGTGGCATATGGCATCATATAAGTAAATCAGGAAATGGTGGCTGTCAGGGGTGTTGAGAATGGCACTAGTGACAATATTTGCAAATAAGAATATAAAAGTATGTTTGAAAATTTTGATCTTGTATTACCAAATTACTATCTGCTGTCATAGTAATGCTAGGATTTTTCTTTTAAAACCGATTTATGTGGCAGTTCTTAAATTTTTTTTTATCTTTGTTTTTTTTTTTTTAATTAAGTCATTCAGCATCTGAAGAAGCTTCGGGTTCAGACTCAGGCAGCCAGTCGGAGAGTGAGCAGGGCAGCGATCCAGGAAGTGGCCATGGCAGTGAGTCAAATAGTAGCTCTGAATCTTCGGAGAGTCAGTCGGAATCTGAGAGTGAATCGGCAGGTTCCAAGTCGCAGCCAGTTCTTCCAGAAGCCAAAGAGAAACCAGCCTCTAAGAAGGAACGGATAGCTGATGTGAAGAAGGTATCGATTAGCCTTGCTGAACAGTACCAGTGCGCTGCAGGCCTGGACCAGGGAGCAGACCTTCGCGTCCTGTGGAGGGCTCCTTAGTATATCCCCATGGTGAAATTCACCTGCAGGTGCCTCTTCCAGTAACACTGTCTCTGGGTCTAAATGGGGACCGCTGTCTGCTCTCCTAGTTAGACACAGGGCTATGAGGAAAATACTGGTGATTACATGAACCATCCTATAGGGCAGAGAGACTTTTTTTTATTTTTGGCATTTAAAAAAGGTGGTTAAAACATATATATTTATTTTAGCACAATAGTGAGTAATACCAGAGAAAATCATTCACAGATGATTGTGAAATGCAGTTGTACTGTGATGGATGATTCCAGTCCAAGAATAAGGGATGTTTTATTTTATTAAAGAATAGGTCTCGGAAAAGTAATCCTCACAGAAAAGAAATTATCTCTACCTAGGCAATGTAGATATTTTTCGCCTAACGGAAGAATTTTCCAGCAGAGAAGGCAAAAAGGTGAAAATTGAGTTGCATAGAATTTTCTCACTGATGTCCAAACTTTGGGATGCATTCCTTTTGGGGAAAAATAATGACTTGGTCTGGGTAGTTATGAGATGCATGATCTTTTGAAATTCTAATTTGAGAGAATTAAGTTTGAATCACTAAAAATATTTAAAAATTGGTGTTACAAATTAAAAAATGTCTTATGCTGAAAGCTTTATGAGAAATCAACTTTTCCTCTAAGATACAAATCTGTGTCTACACACAGAGATCTTCCCAGGAGGACAAATGATTTTAAATTACCTGCAACTTCTATAGAATAGCTTCAACAATCCTGAAATAAAAAAAACAAAGTGGCTTTCAACTGTTGGCAGAATTGAGATTAACTGTTATTTCAGTTCTTCTCTTCCCAGTATAGTCACTGCTTAAGGTTAAATGGCCCTGAAGGGTTGGTGGGAGGTTGGGGAATGCAGGTAGTGTTGTAGTGTTAGGGACAGGGAAATGAAAACTGTCCTTGCTACCTAACTTATCACCAGAGAAGGGACTTTCAGACACTCAAGGGTTGTGCTGTGTTGCCTGCTCAGTATGTGGAGACCTTTCACAGGAGACATTTCAGGTGGTGATTATTTCAGAGAGACCCTGTATATGGAAGGTACCGCTTAGAGTATCTTCTCTGAGTGTCTTTCAGCTCAGAAATTTACCTGCAGAAGGCCTTGCTTTTCCATCTTTTTTAACTTTCTTTTGTACAGTGAAGAGTTCTTTACTTGCAGAGAGTAAAGCAAGCCATAGAAACCACGACTTGCACAGGGTGTTTAAAACTTTACCAAAGTCATGTTGACTGGGATTCTGGAAATCAACTGTAAGGCCAAATATATATGTGTATGTATAATATACATATATATATATATGTAAAACTTAATTTAAAGAGAGACAGGATTAAGATTGCATGTCACAATGGAAGTACAGCTTTGGCAAAAATATTAAGGTGATCAATTTTAAGAAGTTAATAGATACATGGATGGATGTACTAGCCAGTTAGAATGATTAGGTTATGACTTTAATAATTATTCTAAAACAAGCTTGTAAAGAACACTCTTTGTTTTCTGTACACTCTTCTCTTTCACATGGTAGCTTTTATTGAAGAGTTGAATTAGGTATCACTAGCCCTGAAAAGGGCAGATGGGAACACAAGATGATTTTAGGTTGTACACATTACAGTGTATGTTGTAATAAAGTTCCAACAGGTGAGCCTGAATGCCTAATATTTTAAAATGGTAAAGCTAATTAATGTAGTACCATTTAAAGAATTGAGCCACCCAGTTAATAAACACTAATTCCTGGGGAGCCATTTCACGGCTTTCAGGTTTAAGAAAGGGCAGGGTGTGGGTTGACTGGCGGGGCTGGAGCAAAGCTCTTGCTACCTCCCCTTCTCTGCCCCATTGGTTTGAGTTGTGGACATTCGCTGCCTTTTTTGCCTTTATTTCCTACCACTTGATTATTACTAATTCTTGGTTGGATCTTTTGTCCTCTGACTCATATTATTCTTGAGGTTAAGAATTTTTCCCTTTTGTAAACTGAGGACACTGAACTACATGATTATGTGGCTTCTCCTTCTGAAATGCCTATTCCTTAGAACATCATGCTTATTATCTTTGGAGGGGTTCTTTTTCTTCGGCTTTCTTGGGATTTTTTTTTTTAAGGTACTGTTGATTATGTCCTCCCTTGCCTTTGTGACATATTGTGTTCCTGGATCGTCTTTCATCATTTTTGTCTTTTTAGGGGTCCACTTTCCACACATTTCATGATGAGCCATAGCCCGAGGCTTCTCTTGCCTCACTCCAAATATTTTCATGACGTTAGCTGCCTCCCATATTTCAATGGCAAATCCAACTTTCTTTTTTTTTTTTTCCCAACTTTCTAATCTTGGCTTTCAAGCATCTCTTCTAAATGTTTAACTCTGTTGTGCATCTTCACTTCAGTGTTCCACAATCTTTTAAATTTATTTTGCCTATAGGTGATTGGTTTCATTAAAAGAACACACAACGTGGGCTTCCCTCATAGCTCAGTTGGTAAAGAATCCACCTGCGATGCAGGAGACCCTGGTTTGATTCCTGGGTTGGGAAGATCCCCTGGAGAAGATAAAGGCTATCCACACCAGTATTCTTGGGCTTCCCTTGTGGCTCAGCTGGTAAAGGATGCTCCTGCAATGTGGGAGACCTGGGTTTGATCCCTGGATTGGGAAGATCCCCTGGAGAAGGGAAAGGCTACCCACTCCAGTATTTTGGCCTGGAGAATCCCGTGGACAATGTAGTCCATGGGGTTGCAAAGAGTCGGACACGACTGAACGACTTTCACTTCACTTCATTCACACACAACATACTTATCAGTCGTTACCTGTGGGAAGATGAGTGAGGCTGGGGGTTAGACGAATCAGGGAGAAAAGGGGGGCCTTTTGTATCTTTCCTTTTGATTTGTTAATTTGAGTCTTTTAAAGTGAAAGGAGGGTTATTTGGGGAGATACACACTCCATAGAAAGAGTGTAGGCCATCTTGGAAGGCAGGAGAGGCCAAAACCTGGTCTTAGAGGCAGAGGGTTAAGTGCTGGTAGAGAGTACAATGGAGTGTGCTGGGGCGGGGTGCCGGTGGGTCTCATTCTGAGAACTTAAGGCTGAATATTCCAAATACTGAACTTTGACTGTATCTGGCATGTTGCACATCCTGAGGAATTTTTAAATATATGCAAGTAAACTGATTCTTACTTAACAAGAGTTGGTGGTGGGGCTTCAGATGAGTCTTATGCAGTCAAAGCTGATACTGAAAGCATTAGGGACTTAAAATTCATAAGTAAACATTATTTTAGTGGAAGCAGTTCTTTTATGTCTCCATATTAATCAACTGTAAGTTTATATTTTGACAATGGGTAAGCAACGTACTTTCTAGTTTAATAGCCATGTAGTGACGAAGAGGCATTGTCACAACTCTAATGAGTTCTAGGGTAATATGCTTTATTCTTTTTAAAGATGGTCTTTTATTGTCTCATTAAACAAAACAACCCCTTTGATATATAGTTATTTGAATTCACTTAAATTGAAATATATGTTCCAATAATGTAAATAGTAAATGGGAGTCAAGAAAAAAGATTCATGTATAGTCTGTTAATTTTACAGATGTGGGAAGAATATCCTGATGTTTATGGGGTTAGGCGGTCAAACCGAAGCAGACAAGAACCATCACGATTTAATATTAAGGAGGAGGTAAGAAAAAACAATGTTTTAAGGGGATATGTTCACACTCCTTATCTTACGTCATCCTTTCTGACTCTGGTTTGTATTACCATGAACTTCAGGCATGGGAGTTAAGTGACTGGAAAGCAAGTTTCTTCAACCTTGTAATACAGCGGGAAAAGCCACATGTGGCTTAAAAAAAAAATTACCAGAAAGATCATGTCAGTGTATGCTTTAGTAGAGTATTATATAAAACTGCCCTTGAATTTTTGTTTGTTTGTTTCTCTTAGTGCAGTTGATTAAAGCAAGAACTTTACTTTTTAAAACATCGAGTTTGTAAATTCTAGATCTTGTTAGCTGGGTCACTAAGCAAAGGTGACAAAGGAAATAGCTTCAGATTTACTGCTGAGAAAAGGAGAGTGTGCTTAAGTAATTATTTTACTTTACCTAAATTGTTAAAATTTGCTTTCTGAGTTCATTTTTAATGTGCAATATAAAATATTGAATACCTATTTAGTTTCTGATGAAATTTTCTGAGACTGAATAGATTGATGATTTTAAAAATTAGTGTTATATGTTGGATTTTGTTGTCTCTATAGAATCAGACCTTTCCTCAGTTTGTGTGAAGTTTTTGGGGAAATCCTCTGTTTTAATTCTGTGTTAGGTTTATAGACTACATTCTGAAGAGGTGTTCTTTGGTCTCTCAGTGAAATGTCCTCTCTGCATTCTTTGGAGGACTTTGTTGTTCTTAACTATGCAGTGTCATATTGATAACAGTTAAATATTAGTAGCCAAAGGTTAATGAGTTCGGGGCAGTAAGTATACTTTAAAAATGTGATTGACCATTACACATGCATAGCATTTATCATGTTTTATTTTGAGTGACCTCTGAGCTGGTTAACCTTAGTTAGCTTTCTTTTTCCATGTTTGTTATAATCAAGCACATGGTTTGTAAACCTTTTCCCTTTTGTATATAAATTAACACATTGTCGGTAGGTCACAGGACCAACAGAAATGGGAGTATTTTGCTGATTGGTTTAACACGTGGGAAGAAGAGTTGTTCAGATGTCCATGACTAGAATCCCTTGGTCTGCTGCTATCGGCAGAGTACTGCTGGCTCGTGGTTGAACAAGCGCTTTATTGAGTTTGAAATGAAACAGGTTCACAGTCACCTCCTTTAAAGGCATGCTAAATGTTGTGTGGCATTTTCGTGCCAGACATTCTATATCAGCACCCAGTATGGTTGCCATTAGACATGGGTCTTTTAAAATGTTGTATTAGTTAAAATTAGGTAAAATGAAAAGTCCATTCCTGAGTTACACCAGCCACATTTCAGGGGCTCAGTCACATGTGACTGCTGGCTGTTCAGTGGGCCATTGTAGATACAGGACGTCTCCTTCATCACAAAATTTTATTAGACGATGTTCTTTCAGAAGTCAAGCTGAAAGAAATACTTCTTGGTGTTACAGGTAACTCAGCAATAAGAGACAGATTAATTTTCAAAACGAAAGAGTGAACAGCACCAAACAGAGGCTTAGGTGTCTTTCTGTTTGAAAGCTCATTATTGAGTAATGTTGCATTGTGGAACTGGGGTTCATGTTGTCCCTGAGAACTGTGAACTAAAGTTTGTGATCTTTTCCCCTTCACACCCTGAAGGCAAGTAGCGGCTCTGAGAGTGGGAGCCCAAAGAGAAGAGGCCAGAGGCAGCTGAAGAAGCAGTAAGTCTTTCCTGGGGTGGCACTCACTTGGGGAATTCGGGGCACGCAGCTGTTTCTGAGACTGCCTTCCTTGCGTCTGTAGTGCGCCCTGAGCCCCAGAGTCCGCTTCTGTCTCTTGCTATCTCGGCGTCCTGTCTGTCTGAATCTGCTGCAGCAGCAGTGGTATTTGAAGTTTTTAGTTTTTCAAATGTTAAATGTTGGGCTGCTTTTCAGGGCACACCACAGCTATTCTATCTGATTTGCCCTATCAGCCCCATTATTTTTTTTTTCTTAAAAATGTGCACAAATCCCAAACATACAGGCATTTGGTGTTCTGTTCCAGTTAAGCAAGGAACACATTTAGATTGGCTGTTTTTCCTGTTCCTTTGTTCTCTGTGTTGGCGTGATAAAATTATATTGATTGGACACCCATTTTAATATGAAATACATTATTGTGTCCATGTAGTTTTACTGTTGACAGTTCATAAGCAAGAAAATTTTAATTATGAGGTTAATGTGAAATCCCTTTATGATATGGATTATATATTTGTTATTGTAAAACTTTAAAAATTCTACTTACGGCAAAAAAAAAATTTGACTTTTTTTTTGAGAAATATTCAGTCTTTATGGGGTGGAATGTATGAATCCCTTTGACAAACTGAATTCTACAGCCTGTCTTCTCAGAAAAATACTCAAAACCCTGCACACAAATTCAGGGGTTTCTCATGGTAAACAGCTGTCCTTGGCTCTCGTTGAGAGTCCCAGTTATAGCTTCTCTGTTTTAAAGTATTAGTAATCCTTAGCTTGGGCTTCCCTAGAAGCTCAGCTGGTAAAGAATCTGCCTGCAATGCAGAAGACCCCAGGTCAGTTCCTGGGTCAGGAAGATCCCTGGGAGAAGGGATCGGCTACCTGCTCCAGTGTTCATGGGCTTCCCTGGTGGCTCAGAGAGTAAAGAAGCCGGAATCCATCTGCAGTGTGGGAGACCTGGGTTTGAGCCCTGGGTTGGGAAGATCCCTAGAGGAGGGCATGGCAACCCACTCCAGTGTTCTGGCCTGGAGAATCCCGTGGACAGAGGAGCCTGGTGGGCTATAGAGTCCATGGGGTTGCAAAGAGTCAGACACGACTGAGTGACTAAACACAGCATAATTCTTAAGTATTTGGCCTGAGGCACAGTAATGTGACTCTTTAAATTTCCCCATCTCTAAAATAGGGTAATACTTATTCTGGTAACCTAACAGAGTTATTAGAAACTATGCTAAGTCATCGTATTTAATTTTGCCCTGCCTAGAGGGCATACAATTTCTATTTGTGTTTTAAATATTTCATTAGAGTTGCAGAAATGATAACTGTAGGCAAGCCCCTGCCTCATGGCAGCTCAGAAAGCTCTATCCCCGTCCCAGGGCCTGCTCAGGAGATCTCAGTTTCCCTGGCTAAAGGCTTTGGAGGCTTTTTGGGAAGTCCATGCATGTGTTTTTTCCTCCACTGTCTGGCAACATTCTGCTGGTCCATTGGCAGGAATCTAAATGTACTGTACGTGAAAACCTGAACCCCTGATTTTCTTTTTGGCCACTCTCCATGTGGGATCTTAGTTCCTGACCAGGGATTGAACCTGTCATCACTGGAGTGGGAGCGTAGAGGCTTGAGCACTGAAGCACTAGCGGAAGTCCCTGAACACCTCATATATGTAGCTTCGTTCAGGTGTGAGAAGCCCTACAGCTTTCAGCCCCTGTGTGATACATTGGACTTGCTATTTTGACTGATTTCTGTATTTGCTTTTCCCTCTCCTTTCAGTCCTGAGAGCTCTCCAAGATTGGCAGCTCTCAGAGGCCCTTGTGACCGTTCTTTGCCTGAGTGGAACCTTTCCACCCCTTGTCGGGAAGGGGGAGAGGGTGTGTCCGCTGTGAGGCTGCTGGTCTACTCCTGGGCTCTTCCTTAGGAACTCACCATACGTGGAGGGTCTCCTCGTGCCTCTTTGTCTGGGCGCTGGGCTGGCCTCACGTCATGCCCTCCTCTGGGTATCTGGAGGGCACTGGGATTTGTGGAGAGCTCTTCTCCTGAGTCGGTTTAGTTAGTAACACGGTTTAGAGGAGGTCCTGCAGCTGCTGAGACCCAGGTCACGAGAGACTGCACTGCTGGGCCCTCTGCGATCTCAGCAAGGACGACAGCCTAGTGTGTGTGCACATGGACTTCAGAACTGAGCGAGACGCACTCGGGAGTGGAAATTTTGACATATTAGCACAGGGCAATGTTTCTCCGAAACCCTGCAGGTTGTATCACAGATTTTTAAGTTTTCAAAAGGAACCATTTTTTCAACTTTTTGGGGGGATTAAGTTCAAACAATTGAAAAATTTTAAGGGTAAGAGCAGTACAAGGAATACCTGTATACTGAGATTCACCATTGCGTACCGTTTTTGCCCCATTTGCTTTATCATTGTGAGAGTTCTCTTTAGGTATGTTTATGTATACACACAAGGTAATATTTTTTCTGAGCCATTTCAGACTAAGATTCATACATCATGGTGTTTCACCCCCAAATTCTAAGTGTGTATTTTCTAAGAATAAGGATATTCTCTTTTGTAAGCAAAATACAATTTCAAGGTAAATACATTTAACATTGCTACAATACCGTTGTCTAATTTAGATTCCAGTTTGCTCATTCAGCTCACCAATGTCTCTTATAGTATTTTTCCACCCCCAGTACAGAATCCAGTCTCAGGTTAAATATTGTATTAGTTGTCAGGTTTCATTAGTTTGGAGCACTTTCACAGACTTTCTTTGCTTTTGTGATATTGACACTTTAAGGACTACAGTCTTAGAAGGGACTAACTCCGCTGGAGTCATGTGAGTTAGCATTTTAAAAGCTTAGAGGAGGAAAACATTTTTTAAATTAATTGGCAATTCTTTATGGTCTAACTCTCACATCCGTACATGACTACTGGAAAAACCATAACTTTGACTATACGGACCTTTGTTGTCAGAGAGCTGTCTCTGCTTTTTAATACTCTGTCTAGGTTTGTCATAGCTTTTCTTCCAAAGAGCAAGCATCTTTTAATTTCATGGCTGTAGTCACTGTCTGCAGTGATTTTTGGAGCCCAAGAAAAAAAAAATGTGTCACTGCTTCCACCTTTTTTCCATCTGTTTGCCATGAAGTGATGGGACTGGATGCTATGATCTTGGCTTTTGAATGTTGAGTTTTAAGCCAGCTTTTTCACTCCTCTTTTACCTTCATTAAGAAGCTCTTTAGTTCCTTTTCGCTTTCTGCTGATAGAGTGGTATCATCTGCATATCTGAGGTTGTTGATACTTCTCCCAGCAGTCTTGATTCCAGCTTGTGATTCATCTGGTCTGGCATTTCTCATGATGTACTCTGCATAGAGGTTAAGTAAACAGGGTGACAACATATAACTAACATTCTCCTTTCCCAAGTTTGAACCAGTCCATTGTTCCATGTCCAGTTCTAACTTGCTTCTTGACCTGCATACAGGTTTCTCAGGAGGCAGGTAAGGCAGTCCCTATTCATGCTGTCCTGATTTGTGAAATGTTGGGTAGGATTTCTGCTGACTCATTACAGTCCCAGTAGTGTTGAGCTCCACTGAACAGTGATTCTAGAACCCTCTCTTCCACCTGGAATTTTATTTATTTTTTTCCACCTGGAATTTTAAAAATGATTTTATCTGTAATCATTTGAAGTTATTCTCCTGAGATTATAGTTGTTTCTTCCTTTCCAGTGCTGTGAAGTGGAAGTCTGTCACAGTCCTCTGACACAGCAGGAGAGAGTCCTTGTTAGAACAGATTTATCCTCTTCACAGAGACTTAACTTGACTGAAAATCAGTGCTGTTAAAGCAGTTGATTCCCTGTTTTCCTTTTCTGCCTTCTAAAGTGTAAGAGAAAGGAGTTCCTTTCTTTGAGCTCTCAAAGACAGTTAATTAGGAAGCCTCAGTAACTCTTGGCCAGATTTTAGGCTTATTTTATTTTAAAATGGCTTTTGTTCCTTCCCTTCTTTATAGTTGTTTAGATTTGATTTTTCCTAGTAAAGAAAAATCAAAAGGAATCCACTTTTTCCCAGTAAAGAAAGAAAAGTATACCTAGTTAACTTGCATTCTGACTTTTTCTTATCTATTTATATGGCCTTGAGGCCTCAGCAGTCAAATCTTAGTATTTTTCTCTCCCAGTTACCAAAATTTTGGCCAAAGTTTGATTGATTCCCATTTAGGGAATCCCACTGGTGGCTTCTTAGAATTGGATCTGGCAATTCAAGTCTTCTTTAACATGAAAAATATTTTAATCATGATCTCATAATTTGAGACTTCTCCTGTTTGTAGCCCAGCTTATAATGTACAGCTTAGTCAGGGAGTCTTCCTGATACAGTCTACATTATTTGAGAGGCCAGCAAACTAGGGGTGGACGTTGGTTTCACCTTTTGGAGAGCCCGTGTTGGGGCAGTAGTCTGTTAGTAATTGATTTGCCGTTTTCACTTCACCTCTTACACAGAATTAACAGTATTGCTGGTCCTAACTTGCTCCCTCCCCCACCATTCTTGAAAATTAAAATGAAAATTGAAATAATCCACTAATTTCAGATAACACATACATAAAACTCCTTTCAACCTTTTAAGCCTCTTAACTGTTCAGCTCCTCCCGGAATGGTCTTCAGTGGGTTCTGGTGAGAGTAGCAGAAATGTGGGTTTGACATATACCAAACAGCTTGTTCCCGCTGGGTTTGAGTTTCCCTCTATATTAGAAGAGGACTTTGTACCAGTTGATTGGCTATTTTTGTACCTTCTCATATTGGGAGATTCAAAGTCCTCTTGGTTATCTGTACATCTACAGATCTGCAATTTAACTGGAAAACTCTTAACATCCATTCTCTCAGTGTCTACTGCCATTTTAGTCTCTAAAATTGTTGAAGTGGACCTCATTAGCTACTCTGATATAACACTCTCAGTTCCTGGCAGAGTTAGAGAAATTATGAATAATACTTGGTTGTAGAGCTTTCTCATCTCTTCTGTTCTCCATTAGGTCTTAACGTGCATGTCCTTTCAAGCTTGTTTCCTATGAAACCAGCTCTCCAGTTTGACTGTGTAAGCTCCTTCTAAGGGGTAAATAAACTGTTCTAGACTTGGCCAAGGAAGGCTAGATCCTTAGGTATCAGTCTCCCCATTGCTGGAGACATCTTTTTTTCCTCCTGTCCATCACCATCTATTCCTTGGATCCTTTAGAACACATTTATTGTATGAGACTCTAGGAAAGGAGAATAAGGCAGGTGCCCAAAGTATGGTTTGCTTTAAAGAGGGAGGGATGGATATTAGGTGATAATAGTAGACCTTGATGTTTTACCAGTCACCTTCCGTAAGCACCCTACTTGTGTGACAGACTGATAGGATTCATTCTGTGTATCTTTATTTAACAAAGATGTATCTCCACTTGCCTGCCCTTGTGTCAGTAGAACTTAAATAATGTACATGGAAGTGCTCTATGACCTTTTCATGGAAGGCTTGAGAACGTTTTCTTTCTTGGTGTTTCCACTGAATCAAGTGTAGGACTGTTGAGAAAGGTTGTTCCACTATTACTTTGACTTATTTTTCCATGAAGAATATTGACTTGATTTTGCAATTTGCAGTTAGCATAACCTCATTTTCTATACAGAGGCCAGAGGCACAATGGTAATTGTTTTGTTAGAGAGAAACCCTAAACCCAGGTTCTTGCCTGTTGAGTTTTTTGTTTCCCTAGATGTTTTGTGACCAGTTGCTGTTCTGTGTGTTCCTTCTTTCTTCCCTGCAGGTGAGGAATGAGCTGAACTCCTGTGATTTTTTTATTTTTATTTTTTTAGTTTTCAAGTAAACTTCAGGAACTGTTGGGAGAGCAGGGCACCTATAGGGTGTGGCTCTCCTTCGACATCTGTTATCTTGATGAGCAGAAGAACACCTACTGTGTTTAGGGATTACTAGAACTACTTCATTAGCTGGGCAGGTTAATTAGTAGGTGGTAGGTTTATCGTTAATAACATAATTTCAGGGATTGTTTAATCAGCATATTCTGAAGATGTTAAAATAGCTAGTGTTGTGCCCAGAAAACACTCTCAGTAGTATCAGCATCATCTGAATTTGGTAATATTCAGGTTTTTAGGCCTCAGGTTAGACCTCAATCAGAAACTGGCTATGGCCCAGAAATCTCTTTCAGCAAATCCTTTATATAGTTCTGATCCATACTAAAATTTGAAAACTTCTGATCTAGTATATATTATAGCTTCAGTCTTGTCAATGATAGTAGTAAATAAAAATAGAATATTAGAGAATTGGCAACAAATTTTTTTTTTTTTTCAGAACAAATAATTAAAAAAAAAAAATACAGCCATAGCTTCATCATTTATTTTGATACCAGATACAAAATAGGAATAGATATTACACATCCCAGGAAGGAGCACAACCAAAATTTGGAGCTAAAACAAATCTTTTAGCTTAATACCTAAAATATACATGTTCTGCCTTTTTTGGCTCTTCTGCTTGAAATTGGTTTTGCCAGATTCTTCAAGCAAAACAATCTAGAGGAATTCTTTTAGAAAAAAAAAAATTTTTTTTTGCTTTGCTTTTGATCACAGAGAAAAATGGAAACGGGAGCTCTCAGAAGATGAACAGGAGCAAGGCACCAGTGCAGAGAGCGAACCAGAGCAAACAGTGAAAGCCAGAAGACCTGTCCCCAGAAGGTGCAGTGTTTGCTTGCACGTCTCTGCCTCTGGCTGAGCTTAGTCTGTGTCAGGTTGAGGAGGATGCTGTAGTTCTGGCACGAGGGCCTCGGTTGACAAGCTGCAGTGTCTTGTGACTCTGGATTCCGAATGCCTGGTTAGCTTCTTGCCCGTCTGCATCGTTAGCAAGTAGTTACATGACTGAGCTACTTAAGGATTTTGTGTGTTTGCACGGTACATAGCTAGAGAAGTGAATCTTGCTGTTTCATATTCCAGGTGGACTGGTTATGAGGAACAAATACCTCTTCCACTCTTAAAAAAAAGCTCTCTGTGTATTTGACCAGGGTACAGGTTCTTTTGGGGAGAACTAAGTTTTCCTACATTTAATTGGCTGATTGAAACATACTCAACTGTTTATTACCCTGTTCGTATGATCTATATAACATTAAGCAGAGAATCTGTGCAGAGATGGAAGTAGGTGGAGGTGGGAGGAAACTGGTAATTTCTGATCAGACAAATGGCAACAAAAGGTACTGGTGATGGGGGGAGGAAGACAGGAGGCAGCGAGGCCCCAGGAAGATTTTTCTCCTTGCAGTATTGGGATGGGGTTGGCAAATGTTGTCTTTGGGCCAGATCCCACTCCCCATCTATTTTTATGTGGCCTGTGAGCTCAACACAGCTTGTTTTTAAAAGTTTTTTTGATGTGGACCATTTTTAAAGTCTTTATTGAATTTGTTAAAATATTGCTTCTGTTTTTATGCTTTGATATTTTTTGACCACAAGGCATGTGGGATCCTAGCTCCCCGACCAGGGTTCTGCATTGGAAGGCCAAGTCCAACCACTGGACTACTGGAGAAGTCCCTCAGTATAGCTTCTGGTGAACATTTGTAGTTTCGTGATAAGCAACACTAAATTTGAACCCTAATTAAGTGAAATGCTATCCCTTCGAAAAGAATTCTGTTCTTCTCATTAGTAGATGTTGTATCACGAAAAATGTACTTGATCATTATTATTTTATTTTTAATTTTTTTCAGTAAAATATTTGTTGAAATTTATTTTCTCTTGTTATGTAAATACCTATGTGGTAGCCTCAACTTTGCCTCTTGTCTGAGAAAATAAAATATTTATCCTCTGGCCGTTTACAGCAGAAGTATTTGTCTATCCCTGCCTTAGAATGTTGTACCTGCCTCCTCACCTTCCACCCCTGTAGGGACATTCGTTAGTAGGTGTTTTCTCCTTTCATCTGAGTTTCAGCTCTCAGCCCTGGAATCCACTCTAGTTCTGTCTTCTAGATTTTACCCATCTTTTATTGACTCTCTGGTCATCTGTCTGTGTAGTGTAGGTTACAGCAAGTATGAGAGAAAGAGGTGGCTGTGGTTGTGAGTTTCCGAAGCGTCTTTCTCCTCTCACCTTCTCACCGCTGCGGGAGTACTTGATTTCCTTGTGAGAACTGTCTGTGGCTCTCAGTCTTGGCTGCAGGGGAGGCGCCGCCCGCGGAGGGCCGGTCTCAGCTCTGCCCGTGGTCTGTGGCAGAGCACAGTCTCTCAGCTAGTCTCCCAGGTGTCTTTTACGTACCTGGAAGAAAAAAATACGTGTAGTTATTTCTTGTCCTTTACTTCTTTATACAGATGATAACATTCCATGCATCTTCTCCTGCATTTTTCTTTCATTATCTCTCTCGGAAATCTTTCCTTACCAATGCACAAGAAACTCCTCCCTCCATTGTTTTTTATGGTTGCATGGTATTCTGTTTTCAGACCCTGATGCTGGGAAAGATTGAAGGCAAAAGGAGAATGGGGTGACAGAGGATGAGATGGTTAGATAGCATCACTGATTCAAGGGACATGAATTTGAGCAAACTCTGGGAGATACTGGAAGACAGAGAAGCCTGGTGTGCTGCAATCCATGGGTTGCAGAAAAGTCGGATGTAACTTAGTGACTGAACAACAACAACAAGTATTCTGTCATTGAACTAGTTCCCACTTTGATGACCATTTAGTTTTTCTACTTTTTTGTTACTGCAAATACCACATTGAGTACTTTACTATGCCTGTATCAGTTTATCTGTTTGTATCTTTTACTTATTCCCAGAAGTAAAATGGTTACATTAGTAACTTTGGTAGATATTCCAAATTGCCCAGAAAAGAGCCACAGGCTGTGTATGTATGTTTATGTCAGGTGGTCCTGAGAAGCAGTTGAGAATCCTTGCCGGAGAACCCACAGTGCAGCCCTCCCTTCATCCTCACCAGGAATGGGTCCCGGGACCCTTGTGTTAAATAGATGCCAGAATCTGCAGGTGTCAAGTCCCTTCCTCATATGAAATTCTGTGCGGTCGTATTTCAGTGTAGACTAGGCCTCTCCTCCCATGTACTTTTAGTTATCTGTTGATTACTTTTAATACCTGCTGCAATGTTAATACCATGTAAATAGCTGCTAATGGTCAGCAGTTTCAAAATTTTCATTTGGGAACTTTGTGGACTTTATTTCCCCCCAAATAAGTTTTTGATCCATGGTTGGCTGAGTCCGTGGATGTGAAACCTGCAGTTACAGTGGACCGACAGTATCTCCTATAAATGACTGGAGGGTATCAGCAGTAGAACCATTTTCATGTTTCTAGTGAAGCAGATTTCTCATGAACTAGAATCTCATGGAACAGGACCTAGGAATACTCATGTTTTAACATTCCCTTGGTTAATCTCTATGATGAGCCCTGCTCTGGGAAGTACAGTTATATAGATTGAAAGTAGACACCAAATGATGAAGTAAGGACTTGGCCATTTTTCCTTCTCTCACTTTAGAACAGTGCCCAAACCTCGTGTTAAAAAGCAACCTAAGACTCAGCGTGGAAAGAGGAAAAAGCAAGACTCTTCTGATGATGAGGATGAAGATGATGAAGCTCCCAAAAGGCAGACGCGCCGCAGAGCAGCTAAAAATGTGAGGTAGGTGATGTCCCGGAAGGGTTTCACTAGTGAGAGGAAGGGTCACAGTGTAACTGGCTAGAGCTTGGTTTTAATAAGTCCAGGATCAGGCATTTGACAGGTGAAAATAATGACCTGTGTCTTGAGATTGTATTCAGAAAGGTTCTTTCAAAAAGAATGGTCCTGGCCAATAGGAAAATGGAAATAATAGTGATAACTCATATCAAGCCTTCATTCCTATGAAGATAACTACTTCAATTCAAGTTCATGTTTCCTTGAGTGGTAGTGACTTTATCTTCATTTCATACCATTTTTTGGGACTTCCCTGGCAGCCCAGTGGTTGAGACTCCTTGCTTCTAATGCATGGGGTGTGGGTTCAATCCCTGGTTGGAAAAATAAGGTCCCACATGCCCTGTGGTGTGGCCAAGAAAATAACAAAAATAAAAGTATAACAACTGTTTTTTAGGAAAGACATTTGGGTTGCAGTCTTACTTTTGAATTGCACTTTCAATCAGATAAATTCCTTTGAGTTTCAGCTTATATAGTGTTGGGCTTTCCTTGTAGCTCAGCTGGTAAAGAATCTGCCTTCAATGCGGAAGACTTGGGTTCGATCCCTGGGTTGGGAAGATCCCCTGGAGAAGGAAAAGGCTACCCACTTTAGTATTCTGACCTGGAGAATTCCCTAGACTGTATAGACCATGGGGTCGCAAGCAGTTGGATACGACTGAGAGACTTTCACTTTCACTTTCTTTATATAATGTTACTTGGATGTAATAATCTTATTAAGGTTATGATAGTGTATGAAGCATTAATAGAAAATGAAATAAAGGAAATGATACAAAACATACATATTTTACTTTATACCAGTCAGAGGGCATTTAATTTCATTTTAGAGGGTACATAGTTTTCTTTTGGTTTACTTAAAGATGGTGAACCTGAATCCTGAAGTTATTAATAACCTGTTCAATGAATCCAGTTAATAATTTGAAAGCTAAGACTAGGCTTTGAATATATTAATGTGTTGCTTAGCACTTTTTCCTCCTACAGCTAGCTGTACTGCGTCCAGCATTGTGTTTTTCTCTTTTGTAACTCCTAAACCCTTCGTTGTTAGTATAATATATGATAGAAGGTTATGTTTTAATATTTTTTGTACCAGGAAGCATGCTCAGTGACTTGAAGGCTTAAATTTATATTCTTGTTACTGGGAGACAAAATGCAGGGTTGATGCATTAATCTCAGAACCAATTTTTTCATTAGGCAATTTTTTTCATTATGCATTTTCTTTCTTTGTAGTTGTTTCCTTGTTTATACATAGTAATGATGTCGTTAAATGAAAACATAAGAATGTCCTTGTAGTTTTCTGTGTCTTGCTTACAAAAATCATTTTAGTCAATTTTTATTTTGAAATATGAGTTAGCCTTCCTGCATCTATGACCGTGCAGTGATACTTTGAGCAGGAACGGAAGATGAGCTTTGAGCCCACTTCATCGTGGCTGATCTGCCAGACACCGTGTTGGAGCCAAAGGGGTTGTCCTTACGATCCTACGTGTGGTGATTTTGGGTCTGAAAAGATAGTTTCTTATTTATTCCGCATTATTCCTCATGCAGCTACAAAGAAGACGATGACTTTGAGACTGACTCAGATGACCTCATTGAAATGACTGGAGAAGGAGTTGATGAACAGCAGGATAATAGTGAAACTATCGAAAAGGTCTTAGATTCAAGGCTGGGAAAGAAAGGAGGTATGCAAAGACAGTACTTCATTCTTGCTATAGATGGCAACAAGTGTTAGGGCCAGGAATGCAAATGTTTAAGTAGGAATGGATTTAAGGATCATTGTTGCCTCAGGCACAAGGAACAGCTTACTTTTTTCTGACTTTCTTATTTCCACCTGTGACCACGGACCCTTCCCTGTGGCCTTAGCTTTTAGCTCCTTGAGTTACTTCTGCTTCTCTTTTGTTTCTGCTTGAGTGCTTCTTCTTCCTTGTCCATCTCCTTAGCCTGCTTCAGGGGCTTCTTGCCACCTTTGCGGCTAGACGTGATTCCTGCTGCCACTTCCCTGCCATTGGAAGCTGGCAAATTACTTTTTCTCTCTGCTCAGAAAGGCCCAAATTTTATGTATTTAGCCTGAGTTAGTAGGGACCAAAACGAAAGGATGTTGCTGTTCCATTTTTATTGTGTTTGAATACAAAGATTTCTTTGATTTCACCAGCAAATTTTAGAATGTTTAGATGGGAAAAATTGGGTTTGCATCTTGAAAACATTTGAAATTGCTGGGCATGTTCATTCTGTATTGTTTGTGAATTTCTGCATATTTGAAGACAAAGGATTTTGGTACTTCATCGAAAAAGAGACTCTTTAGACAGCGGTGTATTTGGGAAGCTTTTCAGGGTCTGCTTTCATAGATTTCTTAAAATTTAGCTGAATCTGTTTGCAGCCACTGGAGCTTCTACTACTGTATATGCAGTCGAAGCTAATGGAGACCCTAGTAGCGACTTTGACCCTGAAAAGGACGAAGGCGAAGTCCAGTACCTCATCAAGTGGAAGGGCTGGTCGCACATCCACAGCACATGGGAAAGTGAAGAGTCCTTACAGCAACAGAAAGTGAAGGGCCTAAAAAAACTGGAGAACTTCAAGAAGAAAGAGGACGAGATCAAGCAGTGGTGCGTTTCCTGTCCCGGGTAAAAGGGGCGCACGTGCAGCCTGGGGGAGGGGGGCTTTTAAAGAGTCCGTGGAGAACGTGACTGTCGAGAACATGAAGTTTTGCTTCTGGCACCTGAATGAACGTGGAGGCATCCATGGTTACCTTTCATAAAACTGCGACCTGACGATAATACATATTTTTATGTATAGCCAGGAAGTCTGTGGAGTTCAGTAACAACAACTAGTTTATGGGGCGTTTTTCAGACCTGATCTCGTCGCCAGTCCTCACAGTAAGCCTGTGATATTTGTACAGTGTTATTTGTTGGCAGAGTGAGCTGCAGAGCAGCTCTGTGGGCTCCGGATTGGGGCTCCCGCAGCCTGAGTCCACGGCTCACGTCCTTAAGCGCCTGGTACTTTCTTTGGTTGTGGTGGTGTGGCCTGGATGTCAGGAGTTTCGTGTGGTAGAGAACTCTCTGGGGTATGGTATACTTAAAACTGATCTTGGTTTTACAGTTTACAGAAATGAGGTGACAGGAGTGTTCTGAAACTGTGATCACCTTGTGGCTTTTAGCTTACTTACAGCTTTGAACGTGTCAGGTTGATGAGAAACGTGGGGCCACACTACATACACCCCTAAACTGACTAGTAAATAAGAAGTATAAGTTCCCCCAGGGACACACGTTTCAGTATCATGTGATCAGGTTATTTAGTGTTAGGAATTAGGGATAAATGGGTTCCAATTCCTGTTTTATTACTGTGCAGAATATGCTGTTTCAGTAAATCAGATACTTTTTTCCTTTGAGTCAAAAACGAAAATATGTATCTCTGAGGTATGGGTAGTTTGGAGAGCAATTATTAGAATTTTGAAAGTCCTTGAAAGTTATAGTAGTATTTAATTTCAAGTTGCTGGTGTTTTATAACTGAGAATAATTGGTTTTCTAAAAATGTCACATTTAATCACTCCTAAAACCCATCATATATGAAAAAAAGACATCTTTTCTTATAAATCTGAGTTTTATTGGCCTTGTCTGTTAAGATATATGAATTTATCACAGATCACATGAATTCACCACACAAAATATTTATTTTTAGGTTTCTTTATAAACAGGCCACATCAGCAAGAACAGCTGCTTTGTCCTTTAAGTCTGAGGTTTTAGTGTTTCAGTGTAAAATAAGTCTTACATGTTTTTCTTAAAATCTCTGGCCTAATTATTAGTACAAGATTACTAAAGGGACATATGAAAGTAAAGACTAAGTTTCCTTTACTATTTTGACTTTGCGTTGGCAGATGAGTACGGATAGATGAGTACAGATCTAATTAGCATGTATTTTTCCTGTTTGACTTCTGGCCAGGTTAGGGAAGGTTTCCCCTGAAGATGTGGAATATTTCAACTGCCAACAAGAGCTGGCCTCGGAGCTGAACAAACAGTATCAGATCGTAGAAAGAGTAATAGGTAAGTACAGGGAAACTCATTTAAGCAGTGTTGAAGTTCCAGGAATAAAAGAACTTTCTCTTTTGGGAGTAATGTATAGATACTAAAAAATGAATTTTTTGGAGAATAGTCAGATGTCTAGATTTATTTTGAAGGAAAAGCTAACAAGGAGGTGGGGGACGACAGAGGTGGCAAGGGTGGTGCCAGTATTCTTGACCTGAGCAAACAAGAGATTGGAGATACCATTTACTGAAATAGCAAGATTAAGGGGAGAGAAGTCAAGAGCTTAGTTTGTCAGTTTGATATACTTTGCAGTCATCTAAGTGGATAGTATTGTGAAGGCTGTAGAGTGGGTGAATCTGGAGTTTAGAACTCGGTCTTAGCTGGAGATTGAAACTTGAGAATTTATCTGTGTGTAGATAGTATTTAAAGCCTATGGTTTAATGAGATCATTAAGAAATGTATATATACATGGTGAGAGCAGTCTGAGGGCATGCCAGCTTTTGGAAGTCGGGAAGAAACCGGCAGAGGAGAGTGAGAAAGGCCCGCCAGTGAGATGGCAGCCAGGGGCAGGCGTGTCAAGCACCAGGAGACTCACGGAGCTTGGGCAGCAGGTGGCGTTGCCAGTCGAGGAGGACTGGGACTTGGTCCTTTAGCTTGGCAGTAGGCCTGGCACTGGGGAGATGAATCCATGGGGTGGTGGGGCTGTAGGCGGAGAGGGTAGACAGAGAAATGGGGCCAGAGGGGGTCGTGAGAAGAACACGGCTGTCTCTTTTTTATTTTTTAAGATGTGAGATAGAGTATATTTGTACTCTTCCTCACAGGACCTAAAATGTCACTGTATTCTTGGTTTTGTGATAACTTACCTAATTTTCCATTTATTTAGCTGTGAAGACAAGCAAATCTACACTGGGTCAAACAGACTTTCCAGGTAAGTGAGAGATCTTGTTTATAAATATTGTCTAAGAGCAATTTCATGCTTTGCCACGTGGTGTTGCCTTGGTTACACATAAAACAGAATGTCACCCCTCTCCTTTAATTGGCAGTTGCTGATCTGTAAATTTTTGTATGTGAAATAGCTCATAGTCGGAAGCCGGCCCCTTCCAACGAACCTGAGTATCTATGCAAGTGGATGGGACTGCCCTATTCAGAGTGCAGCTGGGAAGATGAAGCCCTGATCGGAAAGAAATTCCAGAGCTGCATTGACAGCTTCCACAGTCGCAACAACTCAAAAACCATCCCCACAAGGGAATGCAAGGTGTGCTGACTGCTGGCTTTTGAGTTTTCAGGGGAAAGGTGTACTGCTGAAAGGGTCTGGTCACACACATAGATGTTGGGAAAAGAAAAGACTACAGAGGTAAATGACGATTCTCATGTTGAAGTGGAAGATGAGCTCATCTTGGTATCAAAGGAAAATCATTAAAACAGGAGAGGAGGACGTGTTGTATAATGGCTTTACCAACTCATTTCATCTTATTATTTACACATTTAGATATATCTAGTTCAGAGATATTGTGGAGACTCCTTGAAAGAATTAAAGCGCTTTAAAGAGAAGTGGTGGGAAAGGGAAGTGTCTCTGTATTCTACAAAAGACAAGGATCTGTACAGGGTCTCTTATTTGCTACACTGGCTGCACAGATCCTTGTCTTTTGTTGCTGTTTATTCCCTGTGTAAAGTGGAATGCTTGGGTCCTCAGTAATAAAAGTGTATGTAAGACATGGCCTGTTTGTCCAAGAGGCTGTCATTCAGATTCATGGCACCAAACCTGGCACCTGTGAAAAGCGGTGCGTCACTGAAGGTCAGTGAGTGTGATGCTATGTCCAGAGGTAGAAGTCAGTCAGCCACAGGGATCACTGAAGGGATTTTAAAACTAGAGGAAGTTGTGGTACATGAACTGCCCTACGCTTGAAGAATAGATTGAGCTGGTTAGACAAGATAAAAGGGCCCAGGTTATTGCCCTCTCGTGAAAGATACTAAGAGAAGGGTGTTTTCATAATGTAGTTGGGGAACCACCAGGGGTTGGAAGAGGGAGGTGATATTGACACATCAAAGTGTGTATGTCTTGAATACCTAGGAGGATATGTTGACTATAGTGGGTATTGATAAGCCTACCCTCTTGAGCAGAGCAGCAGGACAGAAATAGTATTTCATTTAGAAAGCTTAATCTAATGACTGTGTGTTGGAGACTCCAGAGTAAGTAGTTAAAGCCAGAAGGTCCGACCAGGAAGATGTAGAATAAGCCCTTGAAGGGACAGTTGGTGTGAGGATGAGGGAAGTAGCGGTTGAGGGGTCAGACGGGAGAAGCTTTGTGAGGAGACTTGGCAGGAGCGGACCGCTGGTTTCCAGTGGGTGCGACTGAGGCATCTGATTCTGTTGACTGCCAGCTGCTCACAGAGGAGAGCTGAAACAAACAATAATTACCCTATCAAACACTCTTTAATAGGGCACTCATTCCAGAGAGTGCTCATATTCAGAGAAATGCTCCCTGCAGAAAAGGCTTTTGTGGGCAAATCACTTTGGGACGCACTCCTTGTGAGCTTCTCCTGTAAGCTCACGGCATCCACAAGGTTGGTAGACTCTGAAGAGTCACAAGCCATGGGATGTATGTAACTTTTTAACCCAGTGTTTCCCAAACTGATTTGGCTGTAGAATCCACATTTTGTGCAAACCGTGGAGACGTGGTTTTACTAGACCGCCAAATCTTCACACCTCTGGAGGTGAGAGCAGCGTCTTTTCCTTCAGAAAGCCGGACTCACAGAGTTGGGGCTTCAAGGGAGGTGGGCTGCATTTCAGCATTTACAAATGCTGAAAATTTACAAATGCATAGACAGACTTTCCCAGAGGCATTGTTCTGTGCTGTCATAGAGTAAGGTAACACCAAGAGGAAAATAGGGGACTCACTGCTCTACTGTAGAGGGGATGCAGAGTAATGATGTTCACACACTTACTTCAGGAAAGGAGCAATAACTAACATGATCTCGGGCCGCAGTCTGGCTTTGGGTATGTAGACAACGATGCAGGAACTCATGGTGGGTTGGGTGTGGTTGGTGATACAGATGTGAAATGTCAATTCTTATGTTTTAGTGTAGAGCGCAGAAATCATGGCTAGCATTTTAATAGATGAACAGGAAGAAGGTTTTCTTCACACCTGGTCTTTGTTCCATTCTGCATTTCAGGCCCTGAAGCAGAGACCACGATTTGTGGCTTTAAAGAAACAACCGGCATATTTAGGAGGAGAGAATCTGGAGCTCCGAGATTATCAGCTGGAAGGTCTCAACTGGCTTGCTCACTCCTGGTGCAAGTACGTAGAAGACTATGTCTGATGTTTTCTCTACTGTTCCTGGCTGTTTAAGATTGTTAGATGCAAAGAATTACTCCTTTTTATTCCCTTCTTCAGGGGATCTTCCCAACCGAGGGATTGAACTTGGGTCTTCTGCATTGTAGGCAGATTCTTTACCATCTGAGCCACCAGGGAAGCCCCATTGTATATTATTATTGTTCTTTGTCACTATGTCTTGTCCGACTCTTTTGGGATACCATGGACTGTAGCCCACCAGGCTCTTCTATCCATGGGATTTTCTAGAATACTGGAGTGGGTTGCCATTTCCTTCTCCCGGGGATCATCCTGATCCAGAGATCAAACGCATGTCTCCTGGATTGGTTTAGTTATTGGGAGGGTAATAGACAGCGACCTTCGTCATACCATGTTATTCGTGAGCACAAATAGCAAGGTAATTTGCCCAAATCTTTGGTGTGGAAGGAATTGTTCTAAGATGAGAGAAGATCTCTAATTTACATACTGGTGCTAAAGAGTCTTGTGATTCCCCTGCTCCCCAATTGCTATACAGGCCATTCCATTTAGAGAGTTTTCTGACAGTTGAACTTGTGAAATTATCCTTCAGTTTTTGTAATCAGATTACCATAGTCTTGGGATAAAAGAAGAAAGAGAGATGAGACAATGAGGTTTAAAGGTACTTTGAGACTGTACATTGCAGGTTCAAGTATTCCCTAGTTACTGTGCGTTAGGAACCCATGTAGGCCTTGAGAATTTAATAGTGAAGCAAGACAAGACAGGATTTCCCTGTCCTCATAGAACATGCAGAGTGAAAAGTACCTTTTTAAACCCCCTCAAGGCGTTTTATTTGCATATATGTATTATATCCCTTGAAAAAGAATCCAAAGGTTTCCCCTCCTGTGTTTTCATCTTGCTTCTTCGTGGTCCATGATGCCCACTGAGGTTGTTGGTACAATGAAACCAGACTGACGAGATGGGAGCAGGTCATTCTGCCATTTTTCTAGGTCTTTCAGTTGCACATCAAATCTGGGACTGGTCACTCCACACTTAGGTAGCCTGCCTGTGAGGTTCTCGACAATTTTTACAGCCTGGTGATCATCGATGATTTCAAACTTGCCAGCGTGACCGTGCTTCATCATCATGGTTAGAAAGCTGACAGTGACTTTGGAGCGTGGTCTGATAGATGGGCACCTGGCGTTTGCCTCTCTTCTCCGCATCGGTGGTGTTCTTGGGGCGCCAGCCAGCACACTCGTGTGCACCATTATGGTGGCACAGAGGTGGAGGAGGAGGGGAAGTACCTTACGTCTGTCTGCACGTTCCTTCCCCAGATGTGAACTCTTAAATTCGTCAGTATTTTGTGGCAAAGCAAGAATTCTTGTTTCAGGATTAGACTACAGCTTGAAAGCAAAGATATGTGAACTTCTTTTCTCAATGCTGAAAAGATGGCTTTTCTTTACAGACATGCATTCATGTATGTGACTTTCCCAGTTGAGCCATCTATTTTTTGTCTTGTTAAAATTTATATAATATTTAACATTCAGTGTGAGAAACAGAGATCTTGAGGAGGTTTGATTTCTTTGAGAATGGAGGTCTGAGGTAACTACTGCTCTCGATTGCTGGAAAATTATTTTTGTTTCAGAGAATAGTGAGATGTGACCTTCCTAAAGGACAATTATAAGCTAAGTGGAGCCTTAGAAGTTGTGTAACTAACCCTCTTGCTTTACACTTTGGGGCTCTTAGGAGCCCAGAATCACACCCTGTAGAGTCTTAAAACTAATTAATTGAGAATCAGCTGAAAAAGGTCCAGTTAGCTACTGGGCCCTGGTTGTGGGAACCTTGCATTATGTAACATGCTGTTTTGGTCTAGTTCCAGAAAAACAGGCAGATCAATCCAAACCTCCTTTCATGTGTATAAATGGACAGTGGCAGTTTGCTAGGGAGAGGAAATGTTGGAGAAAATTAACCCTGTTTCCTCCCTAGTGGTGTGAAAAGGTGAGAGAAATAAGAGGGAAATCACTCAGAGATGTCTTCTTGGTGAATTAAATATATTGTTTTTCTAACCAATTAGTTGTCTTTAACTTGAATATTAGTTTTTGTTCTCTCTGGTCCACTGATTAAGTGTGTATTATACATACGTAAATCTCCCATGGCCTGATTTTCAAGAACCTTTTTATATTTTTAACCTTATGGCATATATGCATCCCTGGTTTCCTGCCAGATGGATTCTTTTCTATTTCCAGAACATACTTCCTAACTCTGGCTATTTTTTTAAGTTTAAATTAGTTCAAATTAATTAAAGTCTTTTCCTAGTATCTGGACAGTCCTTTCCTGTTAGGATCCTATTGAAATCCTGCCTGTCTTCGAGAGCCGTGTTTCTCAAAGTGTGGTCCAAGGAGTATACTCATATTACAGTGTATCCAGAAGTGCTTGTTAACATCACAGAGTTCTGAGCCCTTTTCCAGATATTCCGATTCAGCCGGTCTGGGGTGGGATTCAGAGATCTGATCTGCAGCCTATCCCTGCTAGGTACTAGTACGTTTAAAACAAGCTCTGTTAGCCTGCGGCATGTAGGTCTGGAGAGTAGTGATTATAGCATTAACAGCCCAGTGGCAGGCAGTGGAATGGGTGGGCAGTGTGAACAAGGGCCCGTGACTGTCAGGCTGTAGGGCTCACCAGCAGTGGGGTAGCCCGTCTGCCTCTGCTTTCTGTATTGATGGAGCCCAGGTCATGTGCTTGTATATACCACTATTACAAACCTGCCTTTTACAAGAGGTAGCTGGAAAAGACCAAAATGCAAGATACAGGACATAATCTAAACCGGCTCTTGGAGTAATCCGGACCTCGATATACTTGTTACCTTGCTGTCTTCTGACGTAGGAGACTTGATTGCAGAGGAGAGGAAAGACATTTGAGGCTCAAAACTCATGTCTTGCTGAGGAATATCGTGAGGCCTTGATGCCTCTGCTGTTTGCACGTACTGTATGTTTCTTGTGTGTGAACTGATGATGTTTTTGTTCTTATCTTTTTCTTTCTGCAGAAGTAACAGTGTAATCCTTGCTGATGAAATGGGCCTAGGAAAGACCATCCAGACCATATCATTCCTCTCCTACCTGTTCCACCAACACCAGCTGTATGGCCCCTTTCTTATAGTCGTCCCTTTATCCACCCTCACCTCATGGCAGAGGGAGTTTGAAATCTGGGCACCAGAGATTAACGTAGTGGTTTACATAGGTGACCTGATGAGCAGAAATACGGTGTGTAAACAAAAAGAATTGGGATAGAATCTGTGTTATAAATGTATTTTGGAAATTGACCTAAAGCTATTATAGTCTTTAGTAAAATTGTGATTCTGACACTGTGCTATGCCCCTGATACAGGGAGATTTCTGTATCACAAAAATACAATTCTGATAGTTGTAAAAACGTATGCTTACTTTGTAAAGAAAAACAGCAGCAATACATGAATGGGAATCTTTCCTAGTTGGATTGCAGTATTAAGTTTTTCTTCTTTCTTTCCTCTGTACTTTCAAGACCACTTTATTTACAAAGGATTATGCGATAGTTTATGCCTTATGAAATGTTAATAGTATTTGACAGAGATATTACTGAAAATAATTTAGTTCTTAGAGTTTGTTTCCTAACTTAAAAAATAGGGCAGTTGTATAACTTATAAGAAAGGAATAAAAGGACAGTGAGCTATTTCAGTGCAGCAGACATGAGAAGTATTTGTTTGATACCAAAGTTAACTGGAGCATCAGGAACTTGGAACACACGGACTTAAGTTTATCTTTGTTTGACAGATCTTTTCTTGATAACGAGTAACATTTTTTAAGGTACTATGTGCTAGGCCCTGTGCTGGGTACTTCATATATATTACCTGTAATCCTTATGATGATCTTTAAAGTAGATGATATTTTTTCCAATCAACTGATGAAGAAAATTGACAGGTTAACACTTGTCCTCAGGCCAGCTGGACTGTGGCAGAGCTGGGGTAGGGACAAGGATGTGTCCAATCCCAGACCTGGGGTTTTTCACCACTGGTTGCATGTTGGAATAAACTGTTTCTAGGGAGTTGCTTATAATCAGAGCAAGCCACTGGGAATCCTAAAACCTTTTAGAGAGACATTCTCACCATGTATTATTGTGCTAATTCAAGTTTATTTTTATCAGATAGTTTCATTGAAATTGCCTAACCTAAACTCTGGCAGATTTCATTGCTCTAATTTTGAGTTTCTAAGTACATAATAGTTCCTCGGTTTGTTAATCCATCCGTTAACCATTAAAAAAGAAAATCTAGATTATGTAGAATTGCTTCAAACACTACTGCACCGAAAGGTGAGGGCAAAGAAAATGAACCCTAAATAATTGTGGAGTCAGGGACATTTTCTTTTCTTCCCAGTACTCCTTTTCTCTGTTCTTCCTTCCCACTTGATGGTGATTTTGTCAAGCTCTCCTTGACCCATTTTCCATTCCTAACCTGATAACCAAACTGTAGTAGCTTTGTCATGGGCCATTGTGCTTGCTAGGTGTCCAGTTATATACTTTATACTTTTGTATGAATGTGTTAGTTTTTATGTTTCTGTTATTTTCATTCTTACTAGGTTGTGTTTTTATCCTGTAAGCCTCCCTTCTTGGGGGCCACATCTTACTGCTATATGATTAATGAAATTTCTGACCAAATCAGAAGTTGGAATTTGTTTTATTTACTAATAAAAGTATGCCCTACCCAAAGAATAATCAAATTATATTTCCTTAAGAAAATTCTCATGCTGGAAGATCTCTAGATAAGTTCAAGTCACCAGGGTTTAATTGCTCATGAAATGCATTTTTTTCTCAAATGTACTTATTGGGTGGAGGTGGGGGAATAGGGAGAGAAGACTGTTTGAATTCTTGACAATAAAGTTTTTGCTGCTCAGTAATAGATCTTTTAATTCTAACTTGTATTGCTCTGTGCTTTGGTTGCTTAGATCAGTTTAGAATGTATAAGGTATTCATTAAGTTCTAATTAGATTTAATTTTTTATTTGGCATATTTTGTTGCATCTGTCATAAGACTTGGTGGTGATATAGAAAGCTTAAAGTAGAAATTATGTCTTAATTTCTATTTTCTCTTATAGATACGAGAATATGAATGGATTCACTCTCAGACCAAAAGGCTTAAGTTCAATGCGCTTATAACAACATATGAGATCCTCTTAAAAGATAAGGTGTGTAATTGGTAACCCAAGAGTGTGACTTGTCCAAATGGTGTGGTCTTTGCCTCCCCCTTGCCATGTTATTTTTCTGTTTTTATTTTAAAAAGCAAACAAATGAAGAACAGAAAATCATGAAGAAAATAAGGTTATATATTAAAAAAAAAAACAACCCAGAACCTTACAGTTGAAGGGGACCTTGGGTTACCTAAGCCAGTTGAATAAGACGGGATGAAAGAGTATTGAGGCCCACAACTGATAGGAGATTCCGGTCAGTCGTTGGAAGCTGGTCTTGAGTGCCTCTCAGGCATTTGCCATCTTACTGTTAAGCACTTCTCCAGAACAGATGTTGTGAATGGTCTCTGAAGAGGACAGAAAAATGAAGCTCTTTAAATTATCTCCTTTCTACCATTACTATGAAATGTATGTGCCAAGTGATCCCATTGATGATGATAGGTGTAAACAAATAGAGCTTGGTGGCTCTTGGTGTTTCTGTGCTTCAGGGTTGGGATGGAGAATAGCAGAGAAGAATCTTAATTAAGGAGAGACTGCAAAATCATGAGTTTTTGTTTTTGTGTTGTTTTTGCCCAGCATACCAGTTTTTGTGTTTTTGCTTTGAGGCATGCAGCAATACCTAAAAGACCCCCCTGTAGGTTTTAGAGGATGACCTGCTCTTTTGAGTAAACACCAATCTGGCAACTAACAGAATAAACAGAAGAGTGTTACATACTTTTGAGTCAGTGAAGAGTAAATGTTTCTATGTAAACCTTTGTGATGGTATTTGTACAGAGATAATTAACACTTGAAAGTATTTTGGGTTCCCTTCTGACCTGGTGGCTCCTTCTGTTTTGTTTTTGCTTTAGACTGTGCTGGGCAGTATTAACTGGGCCTTTCTGGGAGTGGATGAAGCCCATCGGTTGAAGAATGATGACTCTTTATTGTATAAAACTCTGATTGATTTCAAGTCCAACCATAGGCTCCTGATTACGGGGACCCCTCTTCAGAATTCCCTCAAAGAGCTCTGGTCCTTGCTGCACTTTATTATGCCGGAGAAGTAAGCTCCTTCCTATGTATTTCAAAAGATGCTAGAATGTCTGAAATGCCAATGCTTTTTAATTTTTTTTTTTAGCAGACCTTAGGGAAAACAGATGGCATGGTTTGGGGAAAGCAAAGCATTGAACTGAGGCAGCAATTAAAGTGTGAAATGTTTTACAACAAATGATAGAAAGCTCAGAAATCAGTCTGTTAAGGAAGAAAGCATATTGTCTCCCAAGCATTTGAATCATTTAATGCTTTGGAGGAAATAATCGACATAGAAAACATTTCAGACCTTCTCCCAGTAGCTATAAGGTCATCAATATAATTGGAATGGAGTATACAAGGTATACAATCTGACAATAAAATATCTTAAATCTAAGCTTTTGATAATAAAAGCATCAACTTCAGATTTGTTAAAATTACCTTATTAAAGAATTGTGGGATGTCTTTACTGAAAAGATTTTTGTGGGAGAGATGGTATGCCCATTTCATAAAACTTAAAATTATCCAATGGTGTTTGATGATACTTGAAATCTAAATTGTTACCCTAATGTGGAATACCCTACTTAGTCTGATCCATCTTAGCATTTTCTCTACCACTGATTGTGCTCCAGCCATTCTGGCCATCTTTTGGTTCCTTTAACAAGCCAAGCGTTGCTATTCTTTTCTTTTTTTATTTTATTATTGTTTTTAATTGTTTGATGATTGGTTTACAATGTTGGTTTGATTTTTGTCATACATCAGCATGAATCAGCCATAGGTGTACATATGTCCCCCCCCCCCCCCCGAACCTCCCTCCCACCTCCCACCCCATTCCCCCCTCTAGGTTACACAGAGCCCCAGTCTGAGTTCCCTGAGTCATGCAGCACATTCCCACTGGCCATCTATTTACATATGCTAGTGTATGAGCTTCCCTGCTGCTCTCCCCACTCATCCCACCCTCTCCTTCCTCCCCCACCCTGGTCCGTAAGTCTGTTCTGTGTGTCTGCATCTCCACTGCTGCTCTGCGAACAGGTTCGTCGGTACCTTCCTTCTAGATTCCGTGTCTGTGTGTTACTATACAATACTTGTTTTTCTCTTTCTGACTTACTTCACTCTACAATAGGCTCTAGGTTCATCCACCTCATTAGAACTGACTCAAATGTGTTCCTTTTTATGGCCATGGTGTCTATGTACCACAGCTTCTTTATCCATCTGTCGATGGACATCCAGGTTGCTTCCGTGTCTTGGCTATTGTAAATAGTGCTGCGGTGAACACTGGGGTACGTGTATCTTTTTCAGTTTTGGGTTTCCTCAGGGTATATGCCTAGAAGTGATATCGCTGGGTCAGGTGGTGGTTTTATTCCTAGTTTTTAAAGGAATCCTTGTACTGTCTTTTATAGTGGCTGTATCAGTTTACATTTCCACCAGCAGTGCAGGAGTGTCCCCTTTTCTCCACACCCTCTCCAGTACTTGTTTGTGGATTTTTTGATGATGGCCATTCTGTCTGTGGTGAAGTGATACCTCGTTGTTTTGATTTGCATTTCTCTGATAATGAGCGATGTTGAGCATCTTGTCATAGGTTTATTGGCCATGTGTATATCTTTGGAGAAATGTCTGTTGAGATCTTTCTGTCCACTTTTTGATTGGGTTGTTTGTTTTTCCAGTATTGTTTTTCCAGTATTCCAGTATTGTATGAGTTGCTTGTATATTTTGGAAATTAATTCTTTGTCATTTGTTGCGTTTGCTATTATTTTCTCCTATTCTGAGAGTTGTCTTTTCACTTTGATTATAGTTTCCTTTGCTGTGCAAAAGCTTTTAAGTTTAATTAGGTCCGATTTAATTATTTTGTTTTTATTTCCATGATTCTAGGAGGTGGGTCATAAAGGATCTTGCTATGATTTATGTCATACAGTGTTCTGCCTATGTTTTCTTCTAAGAGTTTTACAGTTTCTGGTCTTACATTTAGGTCTTTAATCCATTTCGAGTTGTATCTTTGTGTGTGGTGTTAGGAAGTATTCTAATTTCATTCTTTTGCAGAATTGTCCACTTCTTCCAACACCACTTGTTGAAGAGACTGTTTTTTTCCCATTGTATATTCTTGCCTCTTTTGTCAAAGATAACGTGCCCATATATGTATGGGTCCAAGCATTGCTATTATTTTTGTCTGGAATGTTCTTTCTCCTCATCTTCAGATGGGAAGTCACTTATTAATATCGTTGCCTTGGCTTATATGACCAGCGAACCTGAAGTTCCTTATCAGACATGCTTATTTTCTATACCCCGTTTCATTTTCTATATGGCACCTTTTTTTTTTCTCCATTTATTTCCTCACTGATCCCATGCCATTAAATTATGCATTCAGAAGTAGCGGGGATCTTGTTTACTTATTCATCTGTGGTCCACAGAACTAGAATAGTACATGGCATGCAGTAAACAGTTCAATTAAGAAATGTCAAATTAATGGATAAATGCTCCACATTTTTTTTTTTAATTTGAGAAGACTTGAGTGCTTGCTCTGTGCCGTAAACTGAGCAAGGCATGTTTTGGATGGCCTGAGGTAACAGCCTATTGGAGTATAATGTATGTACCATAGAATGTGGTATGGGAGATGGTGAGGGACAGGGAGGCCTGGTGTGCTGCAGTCCGTGGCGTTGCAAAGAGTCAGACATGACTGGATGACTGAACAGCAACAACAACCATAGAATGTATTTTAAGCATACAAATCAATATATTTTTTTTTTTTTAGTAAATTTATAGAATTGTACAGCCATCACCACAGTCTACCTTTAGAATATGTTCTTTACTAAAAAAAGTTCCTTCTTGCCTGTTTGTAGTTCATCTCTGCTTCAACTTCTAGCCTTAGGCAATCACTAAACAGTTTTCATCTCTAGAGATGTACCTTTTCTAAAAATTTCATCTAAATTGAATCCTAATAAGTAATCTTTTGTTTGTGGGTTTTTTTGCTTAGCATAATAATTTTGAGATTCGCCCATGTTGTAGAATTTATTAGGAGTTATTCTCTTATTATGGAGTGATATTCCATTCTATACATACCCAGTCACCAGTTGATGGATGTTTGGGTTGCTTCAGTTTGGGGCTATTTTGTTAATGAATAGATACGTGGGAGTGGAATTGCTCGGTTGTTCATAAAGTATATATTTAACTTCTTAAGAAGCTACCACCTGTTTTCCAAAGAGACTGTACCATTTTACATTCCCATCAGAAATGTTTGAATTTTCTCATTTCTGTCTACCATCACTGATACTTGGTGTATTGTCAGTGTTTTGGATTCTAGCCATTCTGGTGGGTAGTGATATCTCATTGTGTTTTAACTTGCATTTCTATAATGACTATAATGTTGAACATCTTTTCAAGTGTTCATTAGCCATTAGCATATCTTTGGTGATATGTCTGTTCAGTCTTTCACCCATTTTTAAGTTAAATCGTTTGCCTTATTCTCCTTTGTCCTTGAACGTGGTGTATCTTTTTTTGTTGTGTTCCAACATATTCCTATCAATGGTTATTCAACAACTAGTTGCGATTTTGGTGTTCTCGCAGGAAAAGATGCGTGTACATCCTTCTGCTCCGCCAGGTAGCACCCTTTATGAGTTGAAGAGGTTTTAAATTTTTTTAAAAGTGGTCTAGATTGAAGTTCTTTATTAGACTCACGTCTCTAAGTAAAGGCTGTAGTACCTCATTTCTCCAGTGTAGGTAGATGCCTTTTATTTCTTGTCTTACTGTATTGGATAGAACTTTCATGTTGAGTAGAATTGGTGGGAGTAGGATGTTACAGAATTTTTGTTAGGTACCCTTTATAAGGATGAGGAAATTTGCTTGTGTTCCTAGTTTTTGAAGAGTTTTTACAAACTCTTGAGTTGTGTTGGATTTTGTTACGTGCTGTTCTTCTGTTCAACTGATGTTGAAGCTGAAACTCCAAGACTTTAGCCACCTGATGCAAAAAGCTGACTTATTTGAAAAAACCCTGATGCTGGGAAACATTGAGGGCAGGAGGAGAAGGGGAGGACAGAGGATGAGGTGGTTGGATGGCATCACCGACTCAATGGACATGAATTTTGGTAGACTCCGGGAGTTGATGATGGACAGGGAGGCCTGGCGTGCTGTGGTTCATGGAGTCTCAAAGAGTCGGATACGACTGAGCGACTGAACTGAACGGAACTGTTCTTCTGTACCTGTGGAGGTGACCATATGATTTTTTGTTCTTTAGTCTACCAATGTGGTATATAGCATTAGTTACTTTTTAGATATTGTCAGCCTTTCATTCCTGGGGTAAATCTGATTTGGTCATAATGCTGAATCCTTTTTATATGTTTCTGGATTCAATTTGCTAATATTTTGTTAAAGATTTTTCCATTTTTGTTTCTGAGGTACCTAGTTTTGTTTGTTTTTTGTTTTAGTGATGACTTTCTGGCTTTGATAATCAGGATCATAGAACGAATTGTACAGTATTCTCTTTATTTTCTGAAACAATTTGTTAAGATTTGTATTACTTTTTAAAACATTTGATAGGATTCACCAGTGTTGCCTTGTGAGCTTTGGCTTTTCTTTATGAGAAAGTTTTTAATGAATATTTCCATTTCTAGTTATAGGTCTATTCAGGTTTTCTGTTTCATCTTGACTTTGTTTTGTTAACTTGTGTCTAAGAGTTTGTTTATTTCATCTAACTTGTTTAATTTGTTGGCATAAAACTAGTATTTCCTCATAATCCTTTTAATGTTTGAAGGATCAATACTGATCTAAATAATACTTTGACTGTGGTAATTTGTGTCTTGTCTCTTGGTCTTTTTACAGTAGGTAAAAGTTAACAGTATTTGGGATGTTTTCAAAGGCACCAGCTTTGGACGTTATTGGTTTTTGTTTTTTTTCTATTTAGAATTTCATTTATTTCCACTCTCATTTTTATTATTGTCTTCCTGTGCTTTTCATTTAATTTTCTTGTTTTCTATTTTTTTAAGATGGAAGCTTAGACGATTGATTTAAGTCCTTTTCTTCCTTTTCCCAGTATAGGTACTTAAA